AAGTTTGAGTTGGTTAATTGAGGAAATGCGGGCAAGGGGTGAGAAAGAACAACCTCACCGTAATGACTGTGACTCGTAAATACAAATCGAAGCGGAGGAACCATCAGTCGTTTAAACGCCATATTCGGGTTAATTAGCCACGTTAGATCGGGTAAGCGGTTCACCTTGTCTTGGGAGGAAACAAACGAAAAGTAACTATGGAACAATAGTATGAGACGGGTAAAAAAAGCAAAGGTTTGACAAGTCCCGTGAGCTAGTTTGTTCGAAATAGAAAACCTCAAAAAATTTGGCGGCAAACTAAACCGCGCTGCTGTGAGCTTACTATAATATCTAGGCAAGACATATGCCAAAGACTGTCATGACTACAAATGCGATTCCAACCAAACATTGTACGTAACCATCACAATGAGGCTGGACCTTACCGTGGTGCGATGGTTTGCATGCCACAGAGATCCATTGAGCTATGCTGTGTGGTGCTTTTATGCACCTTCAGAGCAACTCATACCAGATTGGTCAATGGTTAGATGCCAGACAAACTCAACCTCCTGGACCTCCAGGTTGGGGGTTGGAATGGGGGTGGCTCCTCATTTCATAAAACGGGCTCTGTAGTCCAGTGCCAAAACTCGCTGCCTTGAGGTAAGGTTTTTGAAGCAAAGGCTTTGGTTGAGAACCCTAACCGTTCTCCTGTCTAGGCCTGGGTAACCTGACAATATTCTGCTCACGCAATACAATGAACCTTTCCTACAACAATTTCTTGGTGCTCTGGTTGTCGCAGAGGATAATAAACGGTGCCCTATCTGCTGCATCGAGCAGGGTGGATAGGGGTATGGATGCTACTGCTCAGGCCTTCCCGTCTTCTTATACCCCTTCTTACGCTACTTCATCCTTATCGTCCCGCTCCAACTTTATTTATACCCCCCATTTTCAATCCCCCAATTCTTGGCCCTCCCCCAGCTTAATTCAATAGTCGCTTGTCTTCTAATTTCATATCACACACAATCGCATGGCCTCGCTCCAATCCAGTTGATAAGTCCATCTTCAACCAAGCGGACAACGTCAGTTCATCCGTTTCCCTTTGGAGTCCTCGTGTCTCGCTAAGATTGGCATTCCTCAATGTGCGCACTTTGCTGCAGATTGGCCAACAGGCAGCACTTGCCCGCACACTAGAGACCCTATCGATCGATATTTGCTGTTTATCAGAAACCCGCCTGCAAGGTTCCAGTTCCGTGCTTACCCTGAGATCCCCCACATGCGACACTGGCGGCACATTCTCATTGCGCCTGTCTGGCGATGATGCAGTTTCAAATACCGGTCAAGCGGGCGTCGGCATTGTTTTGAGTCTCCGGGCTGAAGCTGTCCTGATTGATTGGATCCCAGTAAACAGTAGGATGTGCGTCGTTAGATTAGCTGGTTCGTTCCGTGCTACAAAGTCGCGCGGGGACAAACGGTGCCTGTTTGTCATTGCGGCCTACGCCCCTACAAACTGTAGCATTGATTCGGTAAAAGATGATTTCTATCAGCAACTTCACGAGCTCCTTCGTTACAGAAGAAGCACGGATACTGTGGTGTTGGCTGGCGATCTAAACGTCCAAGTCGGAAAATTGTCCTCTGATGAGCTTCATCTGGGCGGTCAACATGGTGTAGGCTCGCGTAACGATAATGGTGAGCGATTGCTATAGCTGTGTGAAGATGCTCGCCTCTTTCTCGCGAGCACTAACTTTCGACACAGCACGCGCAGAAGCGTGACTTGACGGCCACCAGCCTCGGACCAGTCATGGAAGCAAATCGATCTTATCGCGATCAGTTATCGCTGGAGAGGCTGTGTCCAAAACTGTCGCTCGATTTGGAGCACGAGCGTGGACTCTGACCACGCACTTGTCCGTGCCGACCTTCAGTTTCGTTTCGGTGGACGTCCGCAACGTCGATGTGAACGGATTGACACCAGCCAGCTGGCAAAGCCAGAGGTTCTGAATGCGTACCAAAGTGCGCTGACATCTGCGATGAATAAGCGCCCACTAAACACCGTTGAAGAACACTGGTCGCATATCCGTCAAGCGTTGCTGTGAGCAGGCATGTCTTCATGTGGCAAAGCAAATTGCCAAACCCGACATTGAGTCTCTACACAGTCTCTGGAACTTATGGATGCTCGCCGACGTATTCCGGCTGGAAGCGAATACAATGAGACTCGCAAAAATCTCAGGGCGAAACTACGTGCTAGCCTAAAGAAAGACTGCGAAACCTGGTGGTCTCACCGTGCCTCTGAGATGGAAACAGCCGCTGCCGTTGGTAATCATCGTAAGTTATTCCGTCTGATACGGGAAACAGGCAGCAGGATACCTGGTGTTAGCGAAACCATACACAACGAGAGTGGGCAGCCGATCCACAGCCTGTCAAAACGCTTGGAGTGTTGGGCTGAACACTTTACAAGGCAATTTAACCAACCTGAGTTATCGCTTTCTTCTTCGGGCATTGAGCGCCATTCTCCTTGGGCCGTCTCCTTGGATCCGCCCTCACGCACAGAAGTCGAACGTGAGATCAGGCTGTTGAAATTGCATAAGGCCGCAGGGGCAGATAGAATTCCCCCAGCCCTCTTCAAATTCGGAGGACCTGCTCTAATAGATGATTTACACGAGTTGCTAGTGAAACTTTGGGAGCAGGAGACAGTCCCGACAGACTGGAACCGCACCGCCATTGTCCAAATTTTCAAGGGAAAGTCCCGATTGGAATGCGGCAATCATAGAGGGATCAGTCTGATTTCGTTTGCCTCTAAATTGATTGCCTCTGTCATTCTCCACAGACTGACTGGTACTCGTGAAAGCCAGATTCGTGAAGAGCAAGTCGGATTTCGTCGAGGTCGGGGTTGCATCGACCACATCTTCACCTTGCGTCAAGTGTTGGAGCACCGCCATGTTTATTGGCGACCCACCGTTGTCGTGTTTCTTGACATTAAAGGTCCCTTCGACTCAGTCGATCGACGTGCCCCTTGGGACTGTCTGCTGAGGAAAGGTGTGCCTGATAAATATGTAAACATTATCAAAGCGCTGTACGCGCATAGTTCGGGCAAGGTGAGGGTTTATGGCAAACTGTCGCCACCCTTCCGTATCACCAGCGGTGTGAGACAAGGATGTCGCAGTCACCTTTCCCCTTCAACTTAGCTATTGATAAAGTCATAGAAACAGCGTTCGATGGACACGACCTAGAAGGTGTGGAGCTATTTCCTGGTGAGTGACTTCTTGACTTGGAGTGGGCGGACGATATTGCCCTAATCTGTGACAGCTCCCAAACACGCCAAACAGCACTGGACCGATTAGCACTGGCTGTCAATCGTTTTGAGCTATGCTTTGCTCCATCGAAATGCAAAGTACTTCTCCAAGATTGGCAGAGACCCAACCCTGCGTTAACGCTTTGTGGTGATCTACTAGAAGTCGTTCAGGAATTCAAGTACCTGGGCAGCTATATTAACACCCGTGGGATTAAAGGTGCGGTTACGAACTGTATAGCAAAAGCTCGAGGTGCTTTTGCCAATCTCCGCCACCTGTGGCGCAGACGCGACATTACTCTCGCCCTCAAGGGCAGAGGTTACAACGCAGCCGTACGTTCAACTCTCCTATATGGCTGTGAAACCTGGCCCATCAGGTCGACAGACATGAAGAGGCTCGTCATATTCGATCATCATTGCCTTCGCAGCTTAGCTCATGTCTGGTGGGAACACCGCATGAGCAATGAGCGTGTTCGACGTCGCGTATTTGGTGCAGGAAGAGCGAGTGAACCGCTCAGCTCCATTAGATCACGCACCAGGCTCCGATGGCTGGGCCACGTGTTGCGCATGCCAGCACACCGACTCCCGCGACGTACATTGTTTGCGCGTTGTGGGCGCGGTTGGAAGAGGGGGAGGGGAAGCCAAGTGATGACTTGGTCAAGAGAAATGAAAACCCTCACTTCGAAGTTGGCGTCGGTTGGTGCATCCCGACTGCCTGGCTGGGGTCCTAAGGACAGTGAACACGTTTGGTTGGACACACTTGCTGATATGGCTTGGAGAAGGCCCCAATGGCGCTTGTGTTGTGAGTTCCTTTGTCCATCCCCCTTCTGCATAGCATCCCCCTCCAATCACGATCTTAATTGTTAGGCATAATATGACTCTCTTTTACTGCAGCCAGCTGTTAGCTCTCCGGAACGATGTCCATCAGTTACTGGGGACTCAGCGGGCGTGCCACCGTTTGTTTTCCTTTTCTTGTCTTTTGTATTGCGGCACAATAGCTGAGGTGTTATTCACCTCCAGCTAACGTGTAATGATGATGATTGTATGTAAGAATGTTTCGCTTTTGCGAATAACATGTCGCGCTTCAAACATTGGTTCACATGTGCTATCTTCAATGCAGAGTACCGTGGCCACACATTCGATTCAACAAAACGTTATGAGTACTGCGCGAGATATAGAAGCGTGAAAGAATAAATATTCGACATGGTGCACAGAAGATCCTGGCAAGCAGGACTACCTTTGGGTTGAGCAATAAGGCTATTATTTAGTGGAGCGGAGGAGAAAACAAAGCAGGTGTGAATGACATCCCGAGTAAATTGAATAACATACATGTATATCAAACGTTAAGCAATAACGAGTAAAAACTAATACGAAAGCAGACACTTCATTCTGGTAAATGAGAGGATGCCAATACTTAATGGCACTCGCAGTTCCAATAACGGAACGGCACAGATAATCAGAAGAGTCACAACCCGTTGAAGGTCAAAACACAGGCAGCGTGAATCTTAGTGCCGTTAGCCATATAAGTGGTCCGAACGGTTCTAGTGAGAGAGGGTAAGAAAATTTACCTGAGTACGACTAGCAGGAAAACCTGCTTACAATAGCTCAGATAACCTAAAACATCATAGTTTCATTTCGGGGATAAAGTGAAGTGGCTAGGACAAAGATGGGTCATTGGATCCGAATGTGAACAGCATTAACGGCGGGGAAAGCATCTAAAGTTATTGAAAGAACGAAGTACTTTCAAAAATATGCCCACTGCTTCTCTGCCGTCCTTATTAGGGTTCGCAGAAACGGAAAACTCCAGATCCAAGTAGAGTTTTGCCGGACGATCTATGGAGAGAAAAGTTAAGGTGAAAAAAGGAAGTTTGCGTGCCGAGGAGTTCACACCAAAACGAGACGAAGTGAACAACAGCACAATCGAAACAAAGAAAGCATCGATCGGAAACAGAAAAGAGACGTTAACTATTAGATAAAATATCCGAGATCGGAGCGGAATAAAGGTAAATAAATAGTCTATATTTCTCAATGATGCGAAAAGCTGTTTGCAAGACTGAAACGGCAAAAACCGACACTACACTACAGTTTGATCGAGTTTTCAAGAATAGGGACTTCGGGTTAGGGTACATCGGTGGGCAGATACGAATAGATATGGAGCCATCAAAAACTTGGGAAATCAAAGGAAGGTACAGTTGTGGAAAAAAGAAAACCGTACACAACACAGAGAAATCTATGGGGTCGTCAGAGAGCACGACATTACCGGGTTGTCCAAGCGGAGGTAAAGTATTGACATAGGGGACACCAACCCTAGCATTTAGCGTAATAGCCTACCCGCAAAGCAGCGAAGCGAATTTAGGGAATGGCAAACATTAGGAACCGGTGACTGATTGCTCAGTTCATGCGCCATTCGTCTGGATGATTATTAAACAGAGGTCCAATCCCCCCCAGGTAATGCACCTCAAGCACTTATCAAACTCGGGGGTATCGATATATACCCTTGCTGCTATTGAATATGTTCACCATATCCATGAACTCTGCACCGCACCAACACAGTGGAAGCAAGTCATTGTCATACCTTGAAATGAATCAGGCTCTCTGGTCGAAACAAAGATTTAACGCCCAATAAATCATGCAGCTATCCTATGAAAAATGATGGAGACATATAAAAGCTGCAACGGTCGACTTCCTACTGTCCCGAAAGTTAATCAACGACTTTCGGCACGGTTTTCTGAATGCCCATTCATTCATAAAGTGCCAAATTGAATTTCTACATCATTTAACTGCCTCACAAGATAACCACAAGCCTGCAATTGCTACTCACCAGGACACGCACAAACCTTTTGATCTTGTGACACACGGAAAGCTAGTATAGAAAATGATGTCGTATGGATTCGGGGAACTCCTGCTTTCATGGTTTAAATCGTATCCTTTGAATCGAACGCAGGTGGTACAGATACAGGAAAATAAAGCTTAACCAACAGCAGTCACCAGCGGTGTAGTTCAGGGTAGTGTCGTTGGCTCTATACTGGTTTTGACGTATGTTAACGATGTATTTAACGCCGTGAAATTCGGAACACTATATGTGTTTGTTGATGAGATTAGAATTATCTGCACTTTTCACCCTGCTCCCATAAACGAAGTAACAATCTGATCCAATTAGACTTCCACGCGCTCGGAACGGTGCTCAAAGTAGGGAATTTTATTTACAAGAGATGAGTGTTACGATGTCTTATGAATGAGACATAACATCTATCAGTTTAAGCATTTGTGATAAGCAAATGAACAGATACCATACTGTTCCTGACCTGGGACTGAGATATTCAGGCCCGCTCAACTTCTCCGAACAAGTAGCTTACGTCACTGCAAAGACAAGACAAAGCACTGGAATGTTATTTATAACTTTCAAGGTAAAAGAATCTATACTCTGCGCACATTCATCACTTTCACATCTTCTTTTGGAATACTGTTCGATGGTGTACAGAAGCGTAAACAAACGAGACCACATTGTCCTAGAAAATTCACAACGAACATTCCCAGAGCACCTATTAGGAACCTCATCAAAATTAGAATATTTCGAGCGATGTGAGAAACTCAAGCATGATCTCATCTGGTTGAGGCGAATGAGGCACAACCTAAGCATATACTACAAAATCCTGCACAAGAAAATGCGTTTTCAACCAAAGATGGTAATAATATAATCACCAGTATATAACACATGAAATAAGGAACATTCTGTAGTGCAACGCAGGTCGAAGGCCACCAGATCCGGTAACTTCTTCCATAACAGATATGCAGGAATCTGGAACAAATTGCCAGCCGACATCCGTGCTAGCAATTCAGAACAGGAATTTCAAAAAAGGATCAACAAATACTTGACCATGCAAAATGTGATCCCCCTACTGGGATGTCACATAACAAACAGCTAAGCAAACAAACAAGGCCTGGGATTTATATGATCCAGAAACAAGTCTACAACAGAGCAAATATCACAATGGTAAGGCCACTAGACTCACTGTCTTTATTTTCTTTCTTCCTCCTGCATGACTATGCCAAGCACAAAGTTATCACCAACAAGTGTGTTATGAGGGAAGAAGTCAAACACACCTCCACATTCTCCGTCCTCATTGTAGACGTTCTCACTACTTGTATTGCAGTTTACTCTTACATTTAGCTATTACTAGTGCTCCACTAGTTTCAGTTTCGTGCATGCCACTACTGTAATTCGATACCACTAAATAGGATTAAAGAAAGCATCCAACAAAAGGTGTTTAAATAAAATTGATACCTGCTGTATACCTTTCCGTATTAATATTAGCAAGAGACCTACGAAACCAGAGACAGACATCCTGTGCAACATAAGGTAACACACTAAAACAACAGACAACTTTTGTACCCAATCAAAACTGATAATCAATTTTCAGTACTGCTGTACATTTTTCGATCATTCATGGGCCTTGAACATGCCATTACGGGGACATCTCGCCAAAAACGAGAATATACATTTTATCTATTTATTTATCACGTTGCTGGAATACAACGTTCTATCAGAGTGAAGCAAAAGGCAGTGACTTTACTTAGTGGCGAGTCACATCCGCCACGTTGCAGTGTAGTTAAGCGGACATATATGGAGAAGGCTAACCAGGCGAAAACCCTAGAACACTGACGCCAGATTACTTTCGAACCAATCAGCTGGCACCACGTGGAGGTTGTTCGGTAAGCCCGTCGGTAAGCCAGCCGGACTATGTTGTCTAAGGTGTATACCTTAGACACGACGTCAGAAGTGCTGTTGCACGTAGTCTCCTATTTGTTGGCAGTTAACCAATCGTTTAACAATCGCATTTGGTGCCATAACCACTTTCGTATTGGATTTTTGTTTATGTCTCGTTACGCTCCGCTGCTATTTTTAACTTAACTACAAGAACGGCGCAGATCTTAGCATTTGGATCCACCGTACCTCGGTGTTCTTCTGATCACAGCTGAATGATCAGAATGAACTAACTGTCACAGTAATAGCGAAAGTTAGGATGCAAAAAAGTGAAAGAACATGCATTCGGAACAAAGTTGGCAAGGCCATCGATGGGGAAAGTGGGATAACGCTGCTGGGTCGTCGGCAGTCAGGGTCTGACCGATCGGTCTGAAGCAGTCAGGCTTCTTGGATTGGAGTAAAAGTAGAAGAGACGAAAGTATGTTGAACTTACTACGGCGATTCAGTTGCAGACGTGTCGCCTCCAGCCCAGCTAGTTTTCTTATTATACTAACAAATCACAGCTGACAAAATAAAAAGGATCGCCAGCACCGTAATAAACTTCTGCGAAACCTGTTCAAGTGATCGTGCGCTGAATCGATATTAGTTGATAATGTGTAGAAACTGAGCGCATTAACTAAAGCAATGTGATAATAAAGTATTACACTACCGGAACCACTGTAGCACGATAAGCACCATACTCGCGGTTGTAAGCGTAAAAGCATTCAGGAAAACTGCTAACTGTGGATGGTAATACGTCTAATTCAAGTGTATGTGTCATGAAGTTCCGCAATAATGGGAAGTAAAGCCAATCATTACAATACATTTGGTTGATTAAATCAAAGATTTCCTGACTTCAGTTACAGAAGATGGCAGTAATAGCAAATGTATCATTCAGAAGTTGTATTGAGAATGAACATAAAGCAGAAACACAACGAGGACTTTACGTCCTGAGTCAGATGGAAGGAAAATGCAAACAAGTTGGCCATTCCTCAGCACTTCTGCTGGCATCCCACCAGTACCGGCGCACTTGCTGTTGCGTTGCTGGGCAGACGATCTCTGCGTTTCATTGATTGTTAGGATGTCGGCAAGACCGTGCTTTATATTGTGTTGCTGCTACTAGTGTAACACAGTCCAATCCATGAAAGATTGCTTAAGAGACAGCCGAAGTGCACGCGCAACAGCTGCATAATATCTGCAGATTGTGTGCAGGCTGCACCCGAGGTAGCGTCCACCAACGTCCTCAGCTGGTGCAAGTCGCGTCCACACACTGCAAGTGCTGAACCGGGGGAAGTCAGTGTATGTTATCTACATCGCTTTTAGTAAAGCTATCGATAGAGTGCACCATGAAGTCCTGCTCCACGAGCTGAGGATGTGTGGTGTTGGTGACGCATTGCACCAATGGAACAGTGGCTTCCTTATTGGGAGATGGCGGGTACAGGTGGATGACCACCTAACGGACCGGTACACCTCCACTAGCGGTACACCCCAAGGCACAGTGCTGAGGCCCATTTTATTCCTGGTCCACACAAATGACGAGCCTCAGCTTCTTCGGTGTCCATGTGCACTGCAGATGAAGATTTAAAGACCTTCCAACCCTCCCGACGACTGTAATATCCTTCAGCAGGACCTTGACCGGTGGTTTCCAGAAGTTGAGCTACCGGTCAACCCGGCCAAGTATTCGTTTATGAGTCTTGAGAGGGGTGGTAATGGGCTTGCGTACACCAAGGCCGGGCACCCGTTGTATGCCACTAGTTACGTAAAGGATAGATCACAGCGTACTCTCATGCTGTGCTCTGAAGTCTGTCGACAACACGAACAGACTGTACGCAAAGAGGTTATGCCTGCTTTGGAAACTTAAATGCAGTTTCTGCACTTCGTCTGAAAAGATTGCCACCCGTTTTATCACTCCTATGGTAGGACCGATTCTTGAGTACGGCTTACTCGCCTATTGTCCGACCGCAATATGTATATATATATATATATATATATATATATATATATATATATATTATACACAATCTGTGGTACAGATATTGTGCCATCAGAATCATGGCTGAATAGGAAAACAATATGAATAATAAGAAAA